GTGTGTGTGTTTGTGTGTGTGTGTCTTGCACAAACAGAAAACCTAGATTACGTTAAGTATCAGCTATCAAGTAAAAGAATATTCGCTGGCTAATGTTTTCTGTTAACGATCCTATGCCCATATAAACTGATGTATTGTATATTCATTACAATTGCTGACTCTTGCATAATATGCGTAAATGCAGATTTCAATGTACTATGTTTTTTGGTCATGTGTATTAGAAGTAACATACGTGTTTGTATAAATATGCGTTGGCTACCAGACTGTGTATGCGATCAAAAAAAGGAAGTCATGCTCCCTATACTCATATATACAATACTTAAAATCACGTACAATACCCAGAACATATTGTACATATAAGTACATATAGTATGTAAATATTACTACTGCGAATGAAGGCATATTGGCACCTACAATACATGTAGTACCCACAATACATAATGCATATTGTACCTCTAGTACATATATTGCATATAGTACACACAATACATATAATACGAATAATGCGCATAAGACATATAATACATATAATCCAATTAATACGTATAATACATATAATACATATAATACATATAATACATATAATACATATAATACATATAATACATATAATACATATAATACATATAATACATATAATACGTATAATACGTATAATACGTATAATACATATAATACATATAATACATATAATGCATTTAATACATTCAAAACATACAATACATATAATACATATAGTGCATATAATACATATAATACATATCCGCCGACCCCAGCCGGGGGCGGCGTCAGTGAAGACCCATTGCCCCTACCACCTACTCCACCCCATCCAAAGCTCTGGCCCATGCTCCCACTCTCCATCCCCTTGATCTACCCCTCATGGACCCAGCTCCCTACCCCTTACCCCTCACGGACCCATGGGTTCTGGCCCCACGGCTCCCCTCCGCCCTTACCTCCACCACCCACGCACCCGCTCCCCGCCCATCCGCCCTTCCCGCTCCGCATACATTCCCCTTGCCCAAGCCCCCCACGCACCCCGCCATGCTTTTCATGGACCTATGGCTCCTGGTCCTATTCTTCATCCCTTGAGCTGCTCCACCCCCACCCGCAACCCCCACCCCCACCCCGCACGCACCCTGCCCCGCCGCCCGTGCTTGTCATGGGCCCCTTGCTCCTGGCGTCATGGCTCCACCCCCACCCCCAACCCCCACCCCCAACACCCCACCCTTTCCACACTTCTAACCCCCACCCCCACCACCCACGCACCCCGCCCCCCCACTGGACCCATGGCTCCTGGCCCCATTGGTGTTGGCACCTTCATCCCGCGACCTGGCATGGCTGCCCAACGCTGGTTCATATTATGGCCCGCGACACCCCAACCCCCAACCCCCACCCCCATACCGTACGCATCCTGCCACCCCCAACCCCCAACCCCCACCCCCACCCACCCACACTTCCACACCCCCCACGCACCCCGCCCCCCACTGAACCCATGGCTCCTGGCCCGTGGCTTTTCAGCTGACTTTAAAGGGCCCCAGTGCATGCCCGGGCCCTCCGCCCGCTCCGCCCTCCGCCCTTCCAGCTCCGCCCACTCTCCTCTGGCCCATGCTCCCACTCTCCATCCCCTTGACCTACCCCTCATGGACCCAGCTCCCTACCCCTTACCCCTCACACCCCTCACGCACCCTGCCCCGCCGCCCATGCCCCTCATGGACCCATGGGTTCTGGCCCCACAACTCCCCTCCGCCCTTACCCCCACCACCCACGCACCCGCTCCCCGCCCGTGCTTGTCATGGGCCCCTTGCTCCTGGCGTCAACATTCTTCATCCCTCGACCTGCATGGCTGCCAACGCTGGTCCTATTATGGCCCCTGCTCCACCCCAACCCCCAACCCCCACCCCCATACCGTACGCATCCTGCCACCCCCAACCCCCAACCCCCACCCCCACCCACCCACACTTCCAACCCCTACCCCCACCCCCCACGCACCCCGCCCCCCGCTGAACCCATGGCTCCTGGCCCGTGGCTTTTCAGCTGACTTTAAAGGGCCCCAGTGCATGCCCGGGCCCTCCGCCCGCTCCGCCCTCCGCCCTTCCAGCTCCGCACACTCTCCTCTGGCCCATGCTCCCACTCTCCATCCCCTTGACCTACCCCTCATGGACCCAGCTCCCTACCCCTTACCCCTCACACCCCTCACGCACCCTGCCCCGCCGCCCATGCCCCTCATGGACCCATGGGTTCTGGCCCCACGGCTCCCCTCCGCCCTTACCCCCACCACCCACGCACCCGCTCCCCGCCCATCCGCCCTTCCGGCTCCGCATACATTCCCCTTGCCCAAGCCCCCCATGCACCCCGCCATGCTTTTCATGGACCCATGGCTCCTGCTCCATTCTTCATCCCTTGAGCTGCTCCACCCCCACCCGCAACTCCCACCCCCACCCCGCACGCACCCTGCCCCGCCGCCCGTGCTTGACATGGGCCCCTTGCTCCTGGCGTCATGGCTCCACCCCCACCCCCAACCCCCACCCCCAACACCCCACCCTTTCCACACTTCTAACCCCCACCCCCACCACCCACGCACCCCGCCCCCCACTGGACCCATGGCTCCTGGCCCCATTGGTGTTG